TAAAGGCTTCATCACATTGAGCTGCGTCCATCGACAGTGCAGAAAGTGCAGGTGGCCACCCTCCTCGAGAGGTCATAAGCAGAAAAAACTTTGCTACCTTGCCGAGCTGTTCCAGTCCACGTACAATCGTCCATTGATTATAGCCGAGCATGGTCGCCATTACCCTGGTGGTTAGGTACGGGTCCTTCTCCACCGCGGAACGTAGTACTTCCAAATCCAACTCCATCGGTTGACCCGACCTCGGAGCATCTGTGAGAGAAAAATCTCTTTTCTCTCAAAGATGCTCCGAGAACGGGTCGACCGATGGAGTTGGATTTGGAAGACTTGAACCTGGTGAACCATATCTTGCATGTGCAGTGAGAGATGACATACTCGCCGTGTATTTCCACTAGCTTGATGTGGGGTTTCTTTGCATTCCAATCGTGCAGCAAAGCCGGGACGTGGCGCAGGTCCATTCTGTCACGGTGGCAATTGTGCAGCCTTGTCTGCATATGCAGGGTGGGTGAGTGATAGTTAGTGTGATGAAAAAGTATCATGCACAGGTCACGCAAACGTGATGACGAAATACCAACATTCATGCAAACGAAACACAGAAAGATCAAACTCAAGAAAAAACTTATGCATCAACCTAATTGTCAGAGATGGAGTAGCGGCATGTGGCGCGTATTGCCACACGACTGGTTCGTTAATAGAATCCAGGACTAGTACATATCTAGGTCAACCAATAGTTCCTTTCCTCCGAATTTGGCTAATTGGCACCAGACTCGTCTGGGAGGATAAAGGCGTTGACTTGAACTCGGTCTGCTGCCGCAAATCTTATATGCCTACGTATTGAAGCAGTATATAGAATACTTAGGCCACATACGTATTCAAACCGCCACTAATATTCTGAATAAAAATCGAAGGCGAGGGCACATTCTGTAAATAAGATCGACTGATACCAGAAAATACCATTTTAATGATACGATCATTATCATGTTTGTCTTTTCCACCGAAAATAGTCTACATTCACATTCCCTTCAGAACAAAGGGACAATGTAAGTTCACTCTTCCCGTTTAACTTAGCTAGTTTTTATGAAGCAGCCTCCATGTTCGCATCTCTTTAAACCTGGGCAGTTGTACTAAGGTTAGTCGATGCTTCTGTGGCAAACAGATTCTCTAACTGCGGAACATTTATTCGCCTGACAACCACCTCATCGTTATCAAAGGCCTGAAAGCGTCTCGGAACTTTATAGTGCTACCTATCACGCTTGACAGAAACCAGCTCTCAACTAGTTGCAACACAGGCCGATGAACTTCCAACTAAGTAGAAATTTCAACAAGTCACTCACGCCGATTCCACCAGCACCGAAGAGTTGCTCAACCCTAGAACCTACTTTATTATCTTCCGCTGTCCTGACTTTTCGTGCTTACCACTTTCTTTTGCTCGTTTTGTGGTCATAAAAGTAACTACATGAACTACTATCACAGGGTTCATAGGGTTTCTGGACAAAATGTCTTTCCCTGAAATTCCGGCAAGATTACTCAAATTTGGTAAATTACATACTTCATACCTTACTGTTACCCTCCTATCGCTACTGCGATCCTTTTCCAATTTTGTTCACCTAAGTATGGATAGTGCTTAACAAACATCCTGTCCAGGGATGGGAAATAACGCTGCGCCTTGGTGAGTCAAATCATCAACATCTGCAATGTCGTACTGTTTCTCACAATATTTGGCCCAATGTAGTGTCTCATGTTGTTATGAGGCTTTTGTTTCAAAAAGAAAACATGGTCAAGTTGCAAAGGATTCGTCATCGTGCAGACATATAAATATCGCATGGACCGTCCGGAAGAAGGTTCCTTCTGTGCTTTCACAATCTCCGGCGCTCATGATCTGGTTTCTATGCACTGCACCTGCCTCTGGATCTTGTACCTTTTCATCTTCGATATTGTCATTGTATCTTTTACCAGAAGATAAATTTTTCGTTCAATCGGTGTTCCTGCATAGTCTACCGCACAGCATTCCCGCATGGCAAGTAGCGACGACAGACGACCACTAATATCAATATCAATTTAATGGTGCGGCCGGAAACCAAAAATATGCAAACAGTCTTGGACATCGAAGATTACTCGGAGGGGTTAACTAACATTTTTTCTTCTACAACAGACGCAACGAATGTTCCTAGAATGTCTCAGCCACCAGAAATTGACACTGACGCACTTGCGTCAATATCAGCGAGGGACACAGACGACCGTTTGGGTTCCAGGCTGAATAGCAGGCATGATCAAAGTCCATATAGGTTCCAGTAGTCGTCTGACGAAAGAGGCAATTTTAGAAAGCTGCAGAAATGGTAACAAACTCGTCGGAGCAGAAAGAAACATGACCGAAGACAAATACAACATTCCGGCTGGATACCTAGAAACGGCATTCAATTCAAAAACAGATGACGATAGCTTATCGTCTTTGTCATCTGCAGTGTCTTATATCTACACCACTGCGAACTCAGAACATCTCAGCAAGGTCGTGGAGATGATGGCAGCCGCAACCAATGAAATGGTACAAACCGTAGACCGCCTGAACGAGGCGACAACTGGACTGTCTTCGTCGACAGAGTTCATCAAACAGCAAGGTTGCTGAAATGGTTTCGAACTCCGAGGCAGCGATGGTTTGGATGAAGCAAATCCTAGGAGAGTGATGTGTTCTCAAGACAGAACAAGGACAAATTCGGTTGCCAGAGGGAGCGGTCAAGGCCCTAGTCGCTATGAAAACTCCAGAAGTAATCAACATGTTTGTCGCCGATTCCGCTGATGAGACAAATAATCAACTCATCATTAACAAAATTATCGATTATATGCAGTTATATTTTATATTTAAAAAAGATACTAGCTTCCTTAGGACTGCTTATCTTTCAGATGATGGACTTCTATGGAGAAATCCGAAGTTTAAGTGAAACATGCGCAGCCCTTAGAAAGGAGCTGAGTGATTACTAAAAAGCCCTGAACGAAGAAAAACAGGAATTAAGAAAGATCCGTCGCGCTATTTCATCCCTTCCGGAGCCAGAGCACTTTTACAATAGCATTGTTGCACGTTGCCACGAGTTCCACGAATGTGCCAAAAGATTTTCTCATTTGAGCGAGCGCATTCGCAGCATCAGCAGCCGACTGGGAAGGACGCTTCCATGGCTAGAACTACTGGAGATCAGGTGCGACAGAATGCGTTTGGAGTTTCTTTTCGTTCGCTATCAAATACGCATTTTGACCAGCATACCACCACTACTCATCGCTAAAGGTACACTTTCGGCGACAACTTGGGATGGCTGGATGGAAAAGGAACAACTGAACAGTGATGAGGATCCCCTTGTCATGGACCCTAACATCATCGAAGCAGCAGTAGCCGATCAACTTCAACTACTTGATGGGCCCCGACTTACTCTCATGGATCTTCGCGCCGCTTCTGTAGAAGAAGACAGAGTGAACTTGGCAAGCTTTCAAGGGTCTGTGTTCTAAAAACTTCGTCTCATTCAGTCGACACTAGACGTGGCTATTCAACAGAGAAACAACGCCGAAATGATTGATCAACCGCAGATTGCCAGACAAGAAGCTCTAGTCGAGGGAGGAGGGCGCTCCCAGGGTAGTGCAAGAGAGATAAGTTATACTCGAAAGTGTTGAAGAAGTTCAAGGCCTAGAAGCGGAACGGGAAGAAGACTCAGAAGTGGAACAATAACAAGATTCAGAAGCTGAACAAGAACAACTGAGAAATCCTCCAGAAGCCGACAATCAGGAACGAAAGATGCGCAGCCGAGAGACCACCCGACGCCAGAGATCCAGCTCTGGCCACAAGACAGAGCGAAGTCGAGCAGGAGCTTCACGGAATGCGAAAAGCCGAGTTGAACTTTCGACGCAACATCCAAGTACTAATGGAAACGCCAACCTGCCCACCGAGGAGATTTGAACGAGGTGAAATTCGTCTCAGCGGATAACGACTGATGCGTTGTGTTTTTTGTGAAGCATTGGGAGAACACTATTCTCCCATAGTCAGCCTGGTCGAACAGAAGAGACAACTCGTAGGTGAAAGGAGGCTATGCACTCTTTGCTTGAAGTATTGCACTGGCGGTCAATTCTGTAAGAACGCTTTACTAAATGTTAGCATTGCCGAAGGGCAGGACACCACTCCGCCGTATGCAAATTGCCGGAGACTAGGGTTATCGACAACTTTCGTTGGCGAGAATGGGGCTTGGACGCTGCGAAAGAAGAACACAAGATCTGGAAAAGCGCCTTCATGCCTTCGCAACTGAGGTTTGCCTGCGGGAGTATCGCTACCGCGATCTTATTTCAATTTTCAATATTTAGCCCAATGTAGTATCTCATATTGTTATAAGACTTTTGTTTCAAAAAGAAAACATGGTCAAGTTGCAAAGGATTCGTCATCATGCAGACATATAAGAATCGCATGAACCGTCTGAGAAAAGGTTCCTTCTGTGCTTCCACAATCTCCGGCGCTCACGATCTGATTTCTTTGCACTGCACCTGCCTTTCATTTTTGCACCTTTTCATACTTCGATATTGTGATTATATCTTTTACCAGATGGTAAATTTTTCGTTCAATCGGTGTTCCTGCATAGTCTACCGCACAGCATTCCCGCATGGCAAGTAGCGACGACAGACGACCACTCATATCAATATCAATTTTACCTCTTACTCTTCCATCGTTGTTTTCCAGATCTTCTTCATGTGTTTTTGATAGCCTAGAAAGAACCCTGGCGATTGACAGATCAGAATCTGCTCTTCTTCTTGAGTTTAAGTCGTTTTATCTCGCATATATGCTTCCAGAGAACCTATATTTCCGTCGAGCGAACATCTCACTTATGTGAATCAGGGAAGGACGAGATGGTGGGTAAAACACTTACCCCAGAAAAACTTACCTCCTGCTCTTTGAACTGCACCATTAAAGGCACAGTTCGCGAAAAAGGTTTCCTAGATCTCCAATAGGAGGAAACATTGGCGTTTAAGTATACCATAAGGGGCGCTAGGAGCGAAAAAAGGCATAGGCTCCTTTCTCCTAACTTTGGGAACGATGAAATCTCTAAAATCGGCATGGCCGACACACACACCTGAAAGTGAACGAGTTTCAATGACATTGTGGAGGCTGCACCATTCACGAACTATGGCGGCAGTGGAAGGCAGCTTCGGCTAATTTCGTCTTTAACTAGCAGGCTCATCCCACAACTGCAACAACTGCAATTTATTCCAAACACCGCTTCCACGTCATTACTATCATGATACTCAAGTGTTGTGTTTATTGTTTTCTTGAACACTTCGCGAGGTTTGCAAACAAGCTTTATCAAGCTGACGTTTTGACGATATCGCCTTCTTTAGAGCCTGAAAGGATCATAACAACCTGTGACTATCCGACCAAACGTCTCCACCAACTCGCCGAAGTTCGAAACCCCGAGGGCACGCAGGTAATCGAACGGAAAAGCACTCACCGTAGCTTCGTGGGTTCTTCGGAACCACCCAGCAAGTGATGGTACTAACCGACCAGTGTTGGCTGGTGTAATAATAATAATATTTATTACAGTACATGTAATTAGTAGTCAACATTGGAAACACTAGGCAATAAAAGCACATAATACCAACTCAGTTGCAACACTAACCCAAACAGCAAAAAAATTAGAGGTAGTATAGTTCCAGAGGTCTCAACGGAGGTAACGAGATAATAAATTTCTAAAACATGAAAGAGACCGAGGAATACACAGTCTTTTACTCTTTCTGAAATATTCTAATCCGGCACGGAACGTGAAGAAACCCCGCCCAAGAGAAGAACTTGACCGAGGGAGAAGAATTTTGAGTTAACTCCCTCTGGTAGAAGAAGCAACCAAATGAAAGAAATCGCTGGGTTTGAGACCGACTAAGCTGTTGAGGATTATAAAAACCATAATGAGGTCCTTTCTTCTCCTTCTTAGGACAAGAGAGTCAAGATTGAGCATCTTATTCCTAATCATGCGGCGAGGAATGCTTCTATAGGTAAATCCTAAAGCGCAAACAAAAACTTTCCTAGTGAAGCTATTTTATACCTTCTCAATCTTGTGCACTAAGGCCTTCTTTGTTGGACAAAAAACACAAGTGCCATATTCAACTATAGGCCTTCCAAAGTCTTGCTTGGAGCGGTTTTCGAAACGGAACATGCAAATCAAATGATAGCAAGAAGTTCGGCAAGAAGCGGGAGTTGGCAAACCTGAAGTCCCACCATGCAGTGATAATTGATACTAGAATACAAATACAACCTAAGTCCTCTCCAAAGTCACTGCGGGAAGGCCAATCTTATATAAGGCCGTAGTTCCCACGTGATTGCGAGACATTCCTCCCTAGGATTCATTTTGGGACTGGTGACCTGTGTCCAAAATGCCTTGAGGGTTTTACGCGCGCACAATTGCGACTCCTGTGATACGACCTCTACGAACTCGAAATCGCCTCCGCTAGGCTTTTGAATTCGGTGACTCCTTAAGGCAGTAGACTCTTTCAATCGCCTCATACCATCTATGCGCTCCTTAACCCTCACGTGGAGTGGTCTTGCCGCGTCGCCAATATACTCATCACCAAATTCGGGCAAGTAATTTTGTAGACCACCCCAGACATGTTACAATCACCTCCCTTCGAGTTGGACAGACCACACAGCTTGAGGTTGTTTTTGTATTCTAGTATCAATTATCACTGCATGGTGGGACTTCAGATTTGCCGGCTCCCGCTTCTTGCTGAACTTCTTGCTATCAATTGATTTGTATGTTCCGTCTCGAAAAGCGCTCCCATCATTCAATGCAGTCTTAAGTAATCATCTGGATGCTCGTTCACCTCCTAGACAAATGTTAGATATATGTGCATTTAACCACTGCATCTTCACCTATGCACGATAATAACTCCTAAAATCAATTTTATTTCTTCTTAAACTATTATTCCATGTAATTTTTACAATTCCTCCACAACAACTGGGTTGAAGAAGCTGTTTGGGACTTCAATGACCCCTGAGGCTTCACATTTAATCAGGTTAGTCTCGTACCTGGGTGCGAACCAAGTCTAACTAGCTTAGCTAATCATAATACGAAAGGCTGGTTGATTTGGACGAGTTGGTCGGGTAGAAACGGCGTTGTATGAGTGGCAGTTGAAGCCCATGCGCCCCAATGGCAAAGTGGCTGATTAGGGCCGCCCAAAACGACGGTCCCCCTTCTCCCGAGACTTTTTTATTCGTCGTAGCATTGTTTCATGCGTTCACGAGCCCTTTGATATTGCTCACGTGCAACGTTTGGGATCATTTCTAACCCAGTGACTTGTTCGTTGATAGAGGAATCCATGTCCACAATGCAATTCCTAATGCAACTTTTGGGAAGTGAACTCCAGTGAGCTGGTACTTTGCACCCATACCCATGCAATAAAAAGAATGGGGATTCGCCAGTGGAATCGTAAGGTGTCGGGTTGTATGCAATCATGCAATAAGATAGAAATTCATCCCATCTCACTGGTTTATCCACTTTTTTCCTCAGCAGTTCGACTATGGTCTTTTTGAACCTTTCGGTAAGTTCATTTTCTCGCGGATTATATCTTTGAGTGATTATTGCTGGATTCCCATTAATTTTGTAAGTTTTTTCGTTAGTTCACTGTCGAATTCACCACATTGATTTGACAGTATGCTGCCTGGGAATCTGCAGCCGTCTGTCATCTGGCGCACGAATATTGTTTGTGCCACAATTTCAGCTGATTACAATTGCAATGGGTAAGCTCATCCGTATTTCGTGAAGTAGTCTATCACAGTTGACATCTACTATTTATTACCGTCTGTGGTAAGGCCCACTTCTAGTATATCGATGCCTATCATTTCGAACGGTTTTGTCGTGATAATTAATTTGAGAAAGAGGTGTAATTCCTGGTTTTTAATTTAACACCATTCTCTTTCACATTCTTCTGACCATAGGAACACGTCTCTTTTCATAAATTCCCAAGATACGCGTTTCATTATAGTTTTCAACACTTTTCGCGAAAAAAAGGTTCTGCTAGTAATGGTGCATGTGCATTCAGAAACACGCTTTTCCTATGAGCCTGAGGTATTACCTTGCGAAAATCGCCGTTGTCAATAAAGTTAAGATACTCATCGTGCATGGAGAAATCTGCTACCATGAATTTGCGAACTCGATTTGGGAAGACCACGTCTTCCGCCATTCTGCTCTGTTCCAAGATCTCGATGACGTTTTTGTAAATTACATTGTTGCGTAATTCCTTGAACCAGTTCGGTTCTTCGGCTACGGCCGCAACGATATTCTCATTAGTTCATACATCTGCGCTTAGTGTGAGGGAGTTCTCGTCAACAGGACCAGGACTCAGAGCATCAGCTACTCTATTGGCTGCTCCTTTGAAGTATATTATCTTGACGTTGTATTTCCGCGCTTCTAACGCCCAGCGCAAAATTCGGCTTGAGACGTTAGTTCTTGTAAGAAGTGTCGTCAATGGCTGGTAATCTGTATAGATCACTAATTCAGCCCATAGACGAGCACGTAGAACTTTCTCAGTGCAAAGACAACAGTAGCGCTTCTAATTGTGTTGTGTGGTAGTTTTTCTCGCTATTCATGAGGCTCTTCGATGCGAAGAACATGTCTCGCTGGTTGTAACCCCGGAGACTCTTTGTTGCGAGCACCTCTAGCTTTCCAACAGTTTCGTTTAAAAAGTCCCTGTTTTTTGTTTTTTGCAAAACGAACATGCTATGGGATCTAGCTGGTGTTCGTTCTTGTAATTATCAGAAGAGGGATATGATTGCGATTTCCGCTTTGTCTATAGCTGGAATTGATTTCCTGACTCGCTTTGAGAGTAAACCGTCTTCAGCCATAAGTCGGCGTCCCTCAGTGCTTTGTGCCAGATTTCTGAGTTTCTCATAGGCTGCTTCCTGTTTGGATAGCTCTAGCGTGCTGAAGAGTTGGACATATTCCTTCCATTCTATGAGTTGCGTTACCAGTGCGCGGATGGAGGATGATTCCTTTTCACTCGCATCTATGTGCACTTGATGAGTGAAGTCCTCAAGTTTAAGACAACAATCTGTTACCAGTGAGCGTTTTCGAAGCTGATTCAGCTTTACGTAGGTTTCTGTGCGTTGAGCAAACTCATTTTCCTTGAGTTTGGCTCGCAGGGCTTCAACAAAATCCTTCGCATATTCTTGTTGTTTTAAACACATCAGATGAATTAGCATCTCATCTTGTAGTCCTAATCCACCATATTTCATATGAAATGAGTATATGAAATGTTCGAACCCCTTTCTCTGAGGATGTGAGAAGAGAGTTGGACCCGGTAACGCCATAGCCGCTAAAGTTACAACAACATTTACTCGCGGTAAAAATTGTGATAGAGAAGGGAACACACTTTGGGTGCTCTGCGTCGGTGGTGGGGTCGTTGGCCTCTCTTTTCCTCGTGGCACCTGTAAAAAGGCATTATTAGCGAATTCTACGTCGTCATTCCGAGAAACCGGAGTACAGCCTATACAGCGAACTGATTCAGAGGAATTGAACTGACTACGTCCAGCGTCGGCTTAATCGAAAGGCGTGAGCTCTGCAGACGGCACGCGATCTTGTTCTCGCACATGGTTCATGGCGTTTCTGAAGTTTGTACCAGTGCTTGTTTTCCATTTCCATTGACCGTTCTCTCTGAAACAGTTGCTTATTAGCACTTCCAGATCGCTCATGCCCAACGGAATGGGCCAAGTTCGAGATATTCGAACAAGGTTCTTTGTGTCTTCCGCGTTTGCCAAAACAATTCTTTATCGTGCTGACAACTTCAGTTGACAACTTCATTCAAAAGCGCACTAATTCTCTCATACATCGATCATCGTGTAGTACTTGTGCCTGAAGCTTTTTATGCTCATTTATCAGCTGTTCCAATTGTAGTTTTCGCACAGAAGATGATCTATCAATTGGTTAATTTCTGGCATTTCTCTGTTTATGATTTCACAGCTGCCACTTGCAAGTTCTGAGATTGTCAGCGCTACTTCATCACGGCTTTCTTTTCTGCTGCCCGTGTTCTATTGTCCTTCCATATCTCTTGCCGGACTCGAGATGATTGTATGTTCGTAAACAAAACATTCCCCTTATTATCTAACGACAACATTTGGTCGATTTCCTTATCACTCTCGTTTTCGGCCACAGTCTGAAACGAGAATCTTCGATATGATGATCCAATATCGCCACGAGAGGAGATCTTGATTTATGCGCGTACAGAAACAGTCTCCAAAGTAACTATTTATTGACTAGTACTTATATAACAGTCAGTGATTGTATGGCGAATGCCTTTTCCGCACATTTTCGCGCTCACTGAAATTGTAACCCGCTTTTACTAATGATAGCAGCTGACCGTACACAACTTCACAAGGCTAGTTGGAAAAAAAATTTGCGCACAGCTTGGTTTGCAAAATGGCTTTCCCGTTCACTAAGGTATCAAGTGGATCGGTGTTGATAATTAGTGCACTACTCTTTGTGGTGCTACACCACGGCAACTATCCAGCTCCACGGCGACTGACGGCAGAAGAGCTGTTCACACTATCATCAGCTGGAGGGCAACTCCGCTTTTTAGTGTAAGAATTTCACTTGTAACGCCCAACCAAGTCCTTAGGTTCGACCCCTTTGAACTAGTCGGATGCGTCTGACACACGATAAGATAAGTAGCGTATAAGGCACATAACAAAACATTAACAACAACAAAAAACGCTGAGCTTCGCCAAACAGCCAAAAAGAAACAACAATGAACAACAATGACGCCGGTGCGTCCTTATACAAGGTGTCCATAATTAATAATAGCGCCCATAATTATGGGCGCTAATTCATGGCAATGTTTTTAAAGGTCCTCCGCCGAGAACGACAATGGAATCCATGTGCACGTTTGCTTTCATTGTGTGCTACAACAGGGTAACGAAACTTCTCCCCGATCGCGACATTCTCCCTTGCGGCATGCGGCAAATGTCACTGCAATTACCGTACTCACCCCGCCTCCCCGCCAATCGATATGACGCAACATTTTTCGTTGGTTGCCTTTCTTTTTTATTAGTTTTGATCTTTTTTAATAATCCTCTTTCTTGTTTTTATGTTTATTAGAATTGATTAATTAGAAAGAATCCTCCTATATTAGCGACGATCAAGATCGCATTGGAATTAAAGAGAGCAGCCAGCCAATTCAAAGAATCGAAGGACTCTCTACCTCACAAATTGCGCGCTATAATCTTCCATCGCAATCCTGCGATACGCGGGGGTGCGGCGTGCGCGACGCCGTCTTCGTGGAGAAGATTCCGGACCCTGCTACAACATGTTACAGTCACCTTTCACAATATCCCTCATTTTCAGCGATAGAGGGTCAAACTCTCTTCTGGATCTCCTCGCATTTTGCACGCAGGTATCCTCCTCCAGTTCTTCCCAGTCGTTCTTTAGACTTGCCTTCAAGTACTCCAAACAGTGTCTGCAAACTCTACAGGTCCTAGTCTAATCAGCGACTATATGGAGAAGTCTAGGGAGTTAAGATTTGGAAAGCGGGAGCCATTCCTCTTCGCTAATGGACGCGCAGCAAGCGTCGGTATCACTCGCGGGCGAGCTCTGTTCTGCGGGCTGGAGCACCGTCCCGCTGAGGGGACCACGAGCTGTTAAACATTTCATTTTCCTGTTCTCGTAGCACTCTTCTTGTGGGTAATTGCACGATCAGCGTTTCTGTACAAAACACCATCGTTTCATCCGTTGGGGTATGGTTTTCTGCAAAAATTTTTTAGCTAGAGAAAACCGTGCATTAAATCGTGTATTAAGTCGTATGAGTCAACAACCTTCTGAATTTTTTCATCCTACACTGTCTCTTGACTCCGGAAATGAAATGGGGTTTCTGCATATGATAGGAAAGGCAATGGAGCTTCCGCTTGACATACTGCCATCTCGACAACAAGCCGTGCTCGTTGACTTCTTTTTCATGGGTCACCCAGAATCACGACGACTCGCAGACGGACCATTTTAATAGTCCCATGTTCAGAAACATTAACCTTTCTACCTCTTCCTGGTTTGCTTCCGATTAAGTCTTCCTTCCTATACCCGTTAATAGCCTCCTACACGGATATTGTAAAAATCACAGAAAATTTCATAATGCCCTTCCACCTCTGGCATGCCAATGATTGCAAGTGGCTTTGAATGAGCCTCCTCCATCTAAACACTATTGGGAGTGCCATTTCAGTATCCATAAATTTTGCAAGAGAACCTTCTTATGTAACCAATCAAAGGTGGGTAAAGTGAATTTAATAAACTAATCCCACCTAATGGATTTCTGAATTTGGCACCCATAAATTTAGGCCCTGTATATGATGCCTTGTCTCTACATGCCACGTGGTATAGATACGCCACTACGGAACAAACCGTCGATATGGAAGACAAGGAAGATATCAAATGAAACACGTTAACCGAGTGACGCGTCAATGGGATCCCTACACGTCACGGAGGTCCTCCCTCAATACTCTCTACAACACAAACGAGCAAGTTCTCCTGGATCCCTGAGAGAGGACTTCCCTTGCTACATGGTTTGGCTTCTAAGTATCTTCTTATGTGTTACTGGAATTCACATGAGTTGAACAAAGACTTATTTAAAAGTCAGGCTGGAATTTCTCATTTCAAAGATTAATAGTTTGACTTTCGATCCCATGTTAAACCCTGAAGTTGCACTTCACGCAAGAGTTTTTTTTTGGCAGAGGTTCTTCCCACCGAGAGAACCACACACAACTTCTACCGTTGAAGAAACCCAGAAGTATGAGCCACAGATGGGTATGCTTGCCATTTCTTTCTAGAGCTCATTTTAAAGTTTACTCAGGCACCTTTACTATAGAACCAATCTCTAGCCTGTATTCAAACCCTATAGGGATCCCGTTTTTGCAATGTGAAGAAAAATTGGAACAGAAGGTAAACGCAGACTTTCTTTTTAAATTTTGTTTGGTTTAAGCTGCAGACTGGCCTATTTTTAAATTTTACCAGCTGCCGATTGGTACACTTGGAGATTTTTTACAGCTGCAAATTGATGCGCTTCTGAATTATTTCGGTTACAAACAGAAAAAGGTCGAACTGCATTGAGGGGTTCTGCCCCTCGTAACGAAGATTGATTGGCAACCTTTCTTTTAACGGTTTGCTTCAAGTATATGTCGGCAGCGCCCTATCAATAGAAAGCCAAAATGATTAAAGCTTATTATCAACGAATTTTATTCTCTGGTAGTTTTAAGATTTTCTGAATTTACATGTTTATAGAATCTAGATCAAACATTTCATTGATAGCCTTTTCCAAATCTACTGAGACCATTTCTTCCTTGTTTTTGCTCGACATTGCAGAAATACGTATACATTATGAGCCAGTTGCGGCTCTGTAGTCAGTCAGATGCCGATTTATACAAGTTACAGTATGGCATCGTTTTGCACTCTCGTATTCCCAAAGAGAAAACATGTTCGAAAAAGCTGCCCCATCTTGTTCCAGAGTGATATCATCACTTTAAGCAACCTTGAGGTGCTCCGCACGTTTCAAAAAGCACAGTTCACTAAGGAAGGGTTTCTGAGATTTCTCCTTCGGATGAACCTACGACAGCCACGGATAGCACGAGCGGCGCTGTCGGGTCGAAAATCAGTCCAGATGGGGCGTAGTAAGGGCTCCATAACCGGCTTGGCCGAGTACACATCCAAAAGGGCCAAGTTCTCCGGCCGTTTAAAAGTTGTAGAGTTTGCACCATTCGCATCGGGACGCACACGTTGCATGCAGGCAGATTATTGTGGCCAGCGGTCGCAATGGCCCACACATCTGGACAGCTCGTTCAGATTCTCCTTCATGAACTTTTCTCGTCACATTCTCTCCCAGTTTCTCGTGGTCAGACTACATAGTTTGGCAGATCGGCGCAGCGCTTACTCGATGGCAGTCTTTCTAAATTCCAAAGTACATATACCTCAGATCAATGTAAACGTCGCTTTTTAAGAGATTAATTCAACTATTGGAGACCGTTTTTAGTACTTTGTAGAATTTTACTGTTTCTAACTTCCGATTGTATTATTTATGACAAATATCGGTATTCCTTTTGACGCGAATAGTTCCTGCCTTAGTGAAACCAGTTATAGTTGCCATGACAAGTCAGTCACCCCAATATTGCTGATCCCCGTGCAATGGTGTTGCTAGTGTGACGGAACCAAGCTGACAGCTCCGCAACACGTCTTGCGAACGAACGAGTGAACGGTGAAGTTTTACAACACGTCATCAAGCAGTAGGATAAATTTAGATAGCAGTTGAGGTCGTGGTGTAGTGGCAAGTGGCGCCCTG